AAGGCTAAATATTCATTTTTTAAATATAAAATGACATTAGTAGAGATTTTCTTGGTAGCTACAGAATGAGTTTTAATTATCACGACTTAAGTTTTCTTAGATACTCTTTTAGAAGCTATCTCTTCGGGCTGTAAAATTCATGGTTTTTTTTTTTTTTTCTGTGTACACCATAAAAGTATGTAGATAATATAATTAACCGAAGAGCATTGTGTAGTATTATGTTTCAGTAATGTCTATGTTCTTGAAAGATGTTTGTAAAAAACATTTAAAGTACACCATGGGAATTTACTTTTTAAAAGAACCATGAAGAAACTTTGATGAAGTGATCTATCATTTGGTGACTTGAGTAATCAAGCTCTCCTATTTGTTTAAGGGAAGGTTGTTGTCTATCATTTTATCAAACCAGGAAAAACCATATTAGAAATTAAGAAAAATAGTTTTAATGGTAATAATTTTAACTATAACTTAAAATTAATTAGTTTTCAGACTCCGTTCCTTGAGCCCCTTATGGATTTTTCCTGGGTATCTTGAGACTTCCTCTGACCCACCCTCCCAAACAAGGGCAGCTTCTGTTTTTGTCTGTTAAATGCATTCTACTTAAATATAAGAATTCCTTTCAAAAAAGAAGTCATCTACATTTAAAAAAAATTGAAAGCCTCTGATTTGTTGTTTATTAGTTCATATTACTTTTATTTAGTACTTACTGTGTGCCTGGCCTTAATAAATTAGAGATGGTGTAGCTCAAGCTTCAGTTGAAGTGTTAACTATAATTATAGGTGTAAACAGTTGTAAGTACTCAGATACACAAAAGAGAGCAACTATTTCTATTAAGGCCTCTTTGGGAATCCTTTAGCAGAAAAAGAAACATTTGAATTTGAATGTTTTAACTGCAGGTAGGAGTTTGTGAGAGACGCAATAAACAAGGTTGGTCTTTTTTTCCATTACATTTTGGAGGTTAACTGTCCACGGTACCTTAGATTTGCAGTCAAATAAAATAGGTTACTAATGTATGGTCACATCTGTGTGTTTTACTTTTTAGAATTAGAACTATTACTTGAGGAAAAGAGTTATGTGTAACATTTTAGGGTTATAAATGACTAGTTTGTGTCACTTGGTTAGATTTTTCTAGCTTTTCATCATTCGTTAATGGTGAAAAGTGAATTTTCGTTTTTCTAGCTTCATATTAGATATAGCCTATTTTATTATCCCTGACCAATATTTTATTGAGCAGCTGGGCACTGCGAGTGATAACAAGGAAACATAAAATACTGCTCCCTTCAAAGAGCTTATAGCTTTGGTGGGGAGTTTGACAATTTAGAAATAGTTAAATGTCAGTTCAAGGCAAAGTAGAAGAACCATATACAAGGCAATACATAATGTTTTTATTTTTGTTTTTATTTTATTTTTTGTTTTTTAGGTGAGGCAGCCCTTGGTTGACCTCACAGATTGCAAGGACGTTGTCATCTTACAATCCCTTATTTTTTTATTTTTTACACTTACAGCATCCGGTTTTCCTAGCTAAATACATAATGATTTTAAAAATGGTGGGAAGAAATTTAGATAAAGGAGATAATATTTGGAAGTTTAATAGGAAGAGGGAAAAAAGATTAGGTAAGTTAATGACACTGGACCAAAATCACAGGGAAGTGCAGGATAGATTGGCAGGTGAGGGAAAATATAAGGTAAAAGTTTTAAGAGTGCCAGTTTGTACCTTATGAGCCCAATGGAAAGATTTGAGGAAAGTATTAACACAAGGTTAATAGAAGGAATGATGGGGAAACAATGTTTGTATTACTGTATCCTCTTTGCTGTATTTGACATTATTAAACAGCCTTGAAAAAAAGCCCTACCTTGACTTCTGATATGGTGTAGTTCATTTTCTTCCTGTTTAGCAGGTACTCTTCCTGATCCAAAATTTTATGTTTCTTTCTATACTTACCTTTTCAGAGCCAGGATGATATCTCTTTTTTTTTATTTTTATTTTGGTTGATTATCAGACTAATGAGAAATTAATATTCCTATGATCTGGAGAATTAAAGGTCTAGAGTTCTGTTCTTTATTAACTAAGTATGTAACCCTTTCAGTGTTTCTTAGAGTATTAAATCGTTTCTTAAATAATTTTCTAAAGTTTATAATCTTTATATTAGTAATCTTGACCTTGCCTCATTTCATTTCTGTATTTTCATTTGTTTTTAGAAATATCGTTACCTGAAACTCAAGCGATAACCACCACCTGTTGGTAAAACCAGTTATTAGTTTTTCCTTAAGAAACATCGGCTTATCTTTATTTCTTATATCTAGCAGTCAGTCACCAACCTCTCTTTGTCTTGGTTTGCTCTTTTCAGTTCTGTGATAGTTCAGGTGCTTTAAAAGTCTCTAATACTTGTCCATCTTGGGCTTTTCGCCCCACCAATTCTAGTTTTGTATTCCATTTCTAGTCTATAATGTCTTTTTATTGTTAATTACAAGATCTCTTTTTTTGCTCTTGAAGTCCTTCTGAGTCATAACTTATATCTTCAGAAATAAAAGAAATAAGAAATACCTACTTTCCAATGTGGCAGCTGTGCTCTACCACTCTTCCCCAATTACACATGTGGAATGTCTTACGTTTTAAATCCAAATCCAGTTAATTTTTCGAAGTTCACTGAGATCCTTTCTCCTCACTGAGGCTTAGAGATCTCCAGATTATCGCCTTTGTGCCAAATCCAGCCTTCTGACTGTTTTTGTATGATGGCTTTTTACATTTTGAAAATGGTTAAGGAAACAAAAGAGTAATATTTTGTGATATGTCAAAATTATATGAAATCCAAATTTCATTGTCCATAAACATAGCCATGGCCATTTATTTAAGTATTATCCATGGCTTCTTTTGCACTGTGACTGCAGAGTTGAATAGCTGTAACAGACACAGTATGGAACGCAAAGCCTAAAGTATTAACTGGCCTTTTACAGAAAATTTTCCAAGCCCTGATCTATTCCAGCTTGTATTGATCTTTCATTTATTTGAATTCCTACTGCATTTATCATTTCCATAGTATAGCGCATTGTCTGTCTCCTTAGTTATGGTACTGTAAAGCTTCTTAAAAATAGTGGGGAAGTCCTTTTGAGCCTTTTTTTTTTTTAAATACATACTTTTTAGTCTCCACCTATTCCTGAGATTCTTGTTCAACCTCTTAATGTTCCTGTCATTAGGAAAATTGTTAAACCTTACTTAAGTAGTTCATATTAGGAAAATAATGGTTTCCCTCCTCAATAGCATTGCAATATTGAATGTCAAATTATGCCCTTTACCCCACTTCTCAGTTCTCCAAAGTGAGAAGACAGGACTCATACTCTGGAAAGGAGGTGAGCACATTCCTAGCCACCGATTTAGTGGACTTCTCTATACCTTTGTATCCTCATGACGTGAAGCTAAGCAGGTAGTAGCTAAGCACAGTACATACTTAATGGGTTGTTTACACAGGTCGATATAAATGAAATGACCTTTGGTTCTTCTGTTTTCACCACAGAATAAGGAAATGAATGGTCTAGGAAGAGTTTAGAATAACTTTAGCACCAAGACTTCAGTGACTTAACATGTTGTTAGAAGAAAGTGTTGATTAAATTTAATAATAAGGTAGGCAGTTAATCTAGGAATAGTTTAAGTAATTAGTTTTCAAGTATTGCATTCCGTGAAACTTTTTTTCAAACAATAAATACTCGAAATATCAAAAGGTAACAATGGGTTGGAGCAAAATTACCTTCACTGAGTTGGGTTTGTGGAGCTTCCAGAGTACTGCCTGCCTATTTGGACCCTCCTGAAAATACTTCCATTGAGTCTTTAGGCTTTTTGTTTATAAACCCATAACTTGTGTTAATGAGCAGACTCTAGCTCTTTGGAAAAAAAACAACCAACTGGACGTTTTATATTAGAGTATTTTGCTGTACTCGACTTTGTGGGCCCATAGCAATTTGTGATTTTTATTAATTGTTACTATAAATGTGACTTCAAGATTGCCTACTGATTTAGGATCTGAGTTTGGAGATTAATTCTTTTAGTCATCAAATATTTGAGCCCACACTGTGTGTCAGGTACTTTTCCGGGTGCCGGGAATATGGTAAAAAAAATCAAGCAAAATCTTTATCCTAACAGAGTTTATTCCATAATCCTACCAAGATACACTTCTAGGTTATTTAGTCAGTACATAAATTGTTGAAATTTTTAATAGATTTTCTTTTTATTCACCTGGTTATAGTCTTGTTTAAAGACTAATTTATAGGAAATGATGACTTTTTTACCGTTCTTTTCAACCTTAATCTTGTGTGCTTATGTAGAAGAAACCTTGGTCAAAGAAAATATTGTGGAATATGATTGACTCTACTACAGGTATTACATTGTTTAATTACTTAGCTATCTTATATATGTTAAAATGGCTTTTTATTTCCTCTCCTAATTTTTCACAGTATTGATAAATTTGTCATAGAAAATGAGCAACATTCAGAAAAGTACTAGTATATCAAAATTATACCATATTCATCTTTTAGTATTCAGTCAGCATTTTTATTCTTAAACTATTCTAGGTTAGTTATCTAAGATTGTGGAATATATCATAATCTTTGGGCTTATATCTTCTCTTGAATATCTTTTTACATAAGGGATATTTATTTGACCTAAAGATTTAATAAAAGTGTCAGTAATAATTAGATGATGATTCTGGCTGAATATGTTGTTATAGATAATAGTGTTCATTCTGATAGCTTAATTTTTGACTAAATTTTTGGGACTTCGAAATATATGTATATTTCCCCCTGTAAATAGCCTTTTAGATGAATAAATTACAGCACTTATTTAGTAAATATAACATACCTTATACCTTTTTATTAGTAAATATAACATACCTTATACCTGAGAAATACCTTTTTATTTGTCAAGGAATTAATATTTTGATTTTAATATTTTTTAGGATCCATGCATTTATTGAGTAGTTGCTATGTGGGAGGCACTGTGCTAGGCTCTTGGGATGTATTGATGAAATAGAAATTTGTGCCTTTGTGGATCTTTATTAAACCTGAGCTGGGGTGGGGAAAGAGAGTTCATGACAAGTAATAAAGAAGTAAGTTGTGTAGCAGGTTAGGTAATAAGGTGTTAGCAAGGGGGGTTTTGTTTGTTATTGGGAAAAGTAAGTGCAAAGACAGCAATATGCTTAACATGTCTAGAAATAGTTCACAGTTCTTCATTGTGACTGGAGCAGAATGAGAGTGGGGCAAATAGTATGAGAGTAGGTCAGAGAGAAAGATAGACTTGAAGAAGGCAAGTCTTATAGTAAGTCATTGAAAGGACTTGTTTTTTTACTTTTAGGAGCCACTGGAAAGTTTTGAGCAGAACGAGAGGATCTGACTTATATTTTAAAAGGAACACTCAGGCTGCTCTGATATGAATAGCCTGGGGAAGGGGAGCAGAAGTGGAAATTAGAAGCATTTGGAATAACCTGGGGCCAGAGATGGTGGTCGGAGTGATGGCAGTAAAGGTAGTGAAAAGTGATAAATTCTGGATATATTTTAAAGATAGATACAATAGGAATTTCCTGACACACTATAATAGTATCGAAGTGTAAAGTAATTTTAAAATTATACTTTTTATTAATGAATGCAACAGTTTTGTGAAAAGGTACTAAACAATTTTAGTTTAAATTTGGAATTACTAATAATTTATTTTTTTCAGGGTTTTTTTCCTCCCAGACAGCCACCTCATGTTTTTAAAACTCCATTAAAAGAAGCATATTATATTTGAATGACTTAGTAAAATATCTTAGTAAACTTACTTGTAAAGGTAGCTTCATTTCAGCAGAGAATTGTAGGACAGTTCCACTCATACATTGGCATTAATTTCTGTAAGGATACTTAATCTAAATGTTTCCTTGAAAAAAGGTAATCTGAAGGTAAAATGAGACACTGCATTGCTAACTGAAAAGCTTAAAAACAAAAGCTTTGTAATGCTTATTATAGATTAGTCATCAAGAGACTCAGCTCTAATTTTGAGTAGGTCATTGCTACTTTTGTCTTGGTTTCTTCATGAGTAAAAATGAACATGATGATAGAAGTTATGAGAAAAAGAGAACAAGTTGTATTAAAGTTACGTCAAAAGTAGAAAAGATATGTCTGGAGTGACATAAATATTACCATTAAACATTTGAAAGGAATTTTCAAAATAAATCAAACATCTTGCATGTAGACATTGGCTATTAGTTTATTAGTGGGAGCACAAAAACCAGAATGGATTCTTCTTTTCTCAGCACAGAAGAAAAACTACCTTAGTTAATGGAGGGCAGTTTTGACCTGGATGTTGGGGATCAGTGGATAACTCATTTATGTCTGAAATTAAATTCCCTTATAACTTATTACAGCCAAACTCGTGAAAGCTAGCTTTCTCCCATACTCACCCAAACAAATGGCAAAATCTTTTAGAGGGCAGGATGATGATAATTTTTTTCTAGTCTAGGGTTTCTCATACTTTACAATCTGAAAACATTTAAACTAAAGCTTCTAAGTAAAACTGTAAATCAGATAAAGAAAGCACTGTTCTGTTGAGAAAGTTTGAAGGAGAGAATAAGTATTTGCCCAATATTCTTCTTTTCCTGTGTCTTTGTGAAAAAATTTTTCCACCACAGTTTGAAAATCATTCTATTGTGACTCATGACATAAATTCTGGAGCTGACTTCAAAATATCGATTGGTAACCTGCCTGAGAGCGTTGTTAGAAAGAAAGTCATGGATGTTCCTCACTGTCTCTTTTTGGTAGTTTACCGTGAATTTGGTGTGAAAACCATAAAAATCATGCAAAGCTCTTATTTTTAATTTAAAAGTTTAATCATGATTCAGAGACTGCCGTTATCAAGTTAATTAGGGTATATCGAAGCCTCAGTAGTAAAATTGATCCTCAGTATAATAGAGTTTTACTTAGGTAAAAAGCCTTCTAGTTTTCAGTGACCAATGAAAGAATGATGGCTCCACTCGTCTTCATTTAACTTTAAGGCCCTTTTCTTCCTGAAACTTTTAAAATATATTTTGTGATAGAGTGTTTTCATTTCTGCTCTTAAACTCTATAACTTCAGATGGAAAGGTATCTCAGTATTTTGAGGTTTATGCTGTAGGAGTGCAGAAATGAGTCTTAATGTATTTTGGATAAGCATCTATAAGAAATAGTAATTAATGATGTAGCTATGGCAAAGATTAGACTCGTGGTTAACATTTCTGCAATACTGAAGTCCATGCGATACTGTGTTATTACTTTTCTATTAACTTTGTGTCTCAAACTATGGAAGGCCTAGAACAGTCTTAAACTCTGAATTGCTCTTAGTTTTCAATATAGATATTTGTTGAATAAAGGGCTATATTTAGTTATAGTGTTCATACTGTTTAACATAAAAATACCCCAAAGTAATCACTAGATATATTTTCTTTTAACATATATTTTAAAGTATATAGTCTGCAGTATTTTTCTTTCTAGTAAGAAGGAAAGACAGACCTTATAATCTAGTGTCTTCACTTTTTTCCTTGTTAGCTGTAGAATTGTTCTGTTTTCACAAACTAATTTCCCTTTTTATCACTGTGTAACTGTTATTCAGTTAATTCACTGTTTTCTTTATGGTAAAAATAAAGGAGTCCAGTTATTCTTTTATGCAGTTTAGGTAAAGAATGTTAAACTCACTGCAAGATACAAATACTCAGTTTGACCAGAGTAAGATTTAAAAAAAAAAAATTACTTAAAAAAAAAACAACTAGTTAATAGAATTGGACGGAACTGCCCTAAGGTTCTTTTCCTTCTAGTTATTGTATAATTGGCTGCCAGATAAATATTTGTAAGTCACAAGTCTGGTCATATCACTTTTTGTAAATCTTCAGTAGCTTCCCTGGTTCTATGAATCAAATTAAGAAACAACTAATATTAAGCTTTTTTGTTTGCTTAGGCACTGAGCATTTAAAAAAATGATTTAGTTCTTAAATTTATGTAGATATGTGGTGGACCCATTTTATAGGTGAAGGAACTATGTCTCAAGGTTTCAGGCTTTACTGTTGTCATAAACTAGGAAATAATTGTCGTATTTGAAATCATTGTATTTACTAATAGTTTTCTACTTTTGTTGCTCCTAAAATAGTAATATTTTATTTATTATATAAGTGAACCTAATAAACATTTTGTTTGAATATCATATGGCTAATATAGTTAATATTTAGTTGTGGCTAATAGAGTGAACTTCTAGAACATAATAATAATGAAATTTTATTTTTAAGAATTTTACCTGAAATATTAGTCAAAAACTTAAATTACAAGAACACTTTCTCTTCAACATTAGGTGTTAGTATAGCAAATATGCAGCATAATGTGAATAGATGTTTACTTGCATTTGAGAAGCCAAGTGTTTGGGGCCTTCGTACCTTTTTTTTTCTTTATGTTCTTTATATTCTTCATTTTGTCTGGATTAAAGATAATTTCTATATATGCTGTTGTGTACATAGTCAGATATTTTCACTATCTTCTGAAATTTTGATGGTAGAAATGATGTGTTGCTTTTAATTCAACCTCAAAAGTATGTGAAGAATCTTCAGATAAAACTTTATGTGACTAATTTATTGCTTCCAAATAAATAACTACATAAATTAAATTATATTACATGCAATTCTTAAAGGTTATTTAATGTTGCTGATACTTCTAAAAGATTGTCTCAAATATATAATCTTAAAATTCTTTTATTTGGAGCTCTTCAAATGTGGTTCGTGAGCTTTTTGTAACTAGTCTGAGAGGAGATAAATGTAGAAATCAAAAACATTTAGAAACGGCTTGAAAGTAATTTTATATCTCCTGAATCTAATAAGAAATTGGGGCTTAGTTTTTAAAAATCTTTCTTCATTTTACAAAAGTGGACTTGAAGATATGAAATAAAAATTGGCCCTTTACCTTCAATAGTTTGCATGGGCATTGATCTAGTTAAATATACTGTTGCTATTTGTATTAACTCCATTTATTTCTGTTTCCCTTTTTAAGTATTTGAATATCTTAATTGTTTTGGGGCATAAAATTTGGTAGATTTCACAAGAGTGTGTTGAAACTCTGAAAAATATTTTAAATTCTAAAATCTTGCTAATAAATTTATATGAAATTCATATGTAATTGAAAGCATGTTGTTTTTAAAAGTTGTGAGGGAGTTGTTAAGGCAACTAGTGTAATTTAGATCACCAAACATAGCCTCCAGTCATAGAAGGCAGGAAAATTGAGGGAGAGGAAGGGACTCAAACTCATAGGAAGTAGAGACAAAATGGAAATTCCGTGAATAAGGGCTTATTTTAAAGTTTGTGAGATACTAAATTTTGTATAATTTTGTTAGAATTGTGTTAAATTTTCAAGTCATGTTGCATTTTTAACATCACAAACTCTTTATGATGCTTTCTTAAAATACATGTAATATTAACTTGCATGATGCTGTTATGAACATCTTTAATATGTATATAATGTGTGCGATTCATGATTAAGATGTGTCTTTTTTCTCCTCTTTCTAGGAAGATGATCCACATTACCTTGAAGACCTTTCTGAACAGAAATGAGGGAAATACAAAGAACCAACGATAGTTTTGAAATTCAGGATCTGTATTTTGAGATGATTTTATTTTCAGAATGAGAAATATATCTGGTTACCTTTATGAATGTAGAGACATGAGAAGAGAGTTATGATGGCAAAAAACAAAGAGCCTCGTCCCCCATCCTATACTATCAGTATAGTTGGACTCTCTGGAACTGAAAAAGACAAGGGTAACTGCGGAGTTGGAAAGTCTTGTTTGTGCAATAGATTTGTACGCTCAAAAGCAGATGAATATTATCCAGAGCATACTTCTGTGCTTAGCACCATTGACTTTGGAGGACGAGTAGTAAACAATGATCACTTTTTGTACTGGGGTGACATAACACAAAATAGTGAAGATGGAGTAGAATGCAAAATTCATGTCATTGAACAAACAGAGTTCATTGATGACCAGACTTTCTTGCCTCATCGGAGTACGAATTTGCAACCATATATAAAACGTGCAGCTGCCTCTAAATTGCAGTCAGCAGAAAAACTGATGTACATTTGCACTGATCAACTAGGCTTGGAACAAGACTTTGAACAGAAGCAAATGCCTGAGGGGAAGCTCAGTGTAGATGGATTTTTATTGTGCATTGATGTCAGTCAGGGATGCAATAGGAAGTTTGACGATCAACTTAAATTTGTGAATAACCTTTTTGTCCAACTATCAAAATCAAAAAAACCTGTAATAATAGCAGCAACTAAATGTGATGAATGCGTGGATCATTATCTTAGAGAAGTTCAGGCATTTGCTTCAAATAAAAAGAACCTTCTTGTAGTGGAAACATCAGCACGGTTTAACGTCAACATTGAAACCTGTTTCACTGCACTGGTACAAATGTTGGATAAAACTCGTGGCAAGCCTAAAATTATTCCCTATCTGGATGCTTATAAAACACAGAGACAACTTGTTGTCACAGCAACAGATAAGTTTGAAAAACTTGTGCAGACTGTGAGAGATTATCATGCAACTTGGAAAACTGTTAGTAATAAATTAAAAAATCATCCTGATTATGAAGAATACATCAACTTAGAGGGAACAAGAAAGGCCAGAAATACATTCTCAAAACATATAGAACAACTTAAACAGGAACATATAAGAAAAAGGAGAGAAGAATATATAAATACCTTACCAAGAGCTTTTAACACTCTTTTGCCAAATCTTGAAGAGATTGAACATTTGAATTGGTCAGAAGCTTTGAAGTTAATGGAAAAGAGAGCAGATTTTCAGTTATGTTTTGTGGTGCTAGAAAAAACACCTTGGGATGAAACTGACCACATAGACAAAATTAACGATAGGCGAATCCCATTTGACCTCCTGAGCACTTTAGAAGCTGAAAAAGTCTATCAGAACCATGTACAACATCTAGTATCAGAGAAAAGGAGGGTAGAAATGAAGGAAAAATTCAAAAAGACTTTGGAAAAAATTCAGTTCATTTCACCTGGGCAGCCATGGGAGGAAGTCATGTGCTTTGTTATGGAGGATGAAGCCTTCAAATATATTACTGAGGCTGATAGCAAAGAGGTGTATGGTAGGCATCAGCGAGAAATAGTTGAAAAAGCCAAAGAAGAGTTTCAAGAAATGCTTTTTGAGCATTCTGAACTTTTTTATGATTTAGATCTCAATGCAACACCTAGTTCAGATAAAATGAGCGAAATTCATACAGTTCTGAGTGAAGAACCTAGATATAAAGCTTTACAGAAACTTGCACCGGATAGGGAGTCTCTTCTGCTTAAGCATATAGGATTTGTTTATCATCCCACTAAAGAAACATGTCTTAGTGGCCATAATTGTACAGACATTAAAGTAGAACAGTTACTTGCCAGCAGTCTTTTGCAGTTGGATCTTGGCCGCTTACGGTTGTATCATGATAGTACCAATATAGATAAAGTTAACCTTTTCAT